CTAACAGGCGAGTGTGGGTGTGAGATTGTGGGCAATTACATTGTATCATTGCTACACAAGTTACTGTTGAATTCATTAAAATTTGCTCTCAGATTCGGGTTGCAAGACTGTGGAATTTCAGCAGCCCTGATGACAAAACTGCAGACAAATGTTCACCCTCTGTGCTGTGGAGAGCCACAGAATGTTCGCGGCACAATGAGGCTTGGATCTGATTGAGAAACATCACCTCCTGTAACCGCAGCTGCAAATTAAACAAGGGCGCTCGCTCAGAGGAACAATGCCTGTGCTCCCAGCAGGGCAAAGGGCAGGAGCAGAGGCCAGGCAAGCAGCTGACAGAGACGTACCAGAGATGTGCCTGGCGTGGGGAGAGGGGACAGCCTTCCTGCATCCCTGCCCCAGGTGGCCTGTGAAGCACCCATCAACACCTCCAGATAGGAGTGCCTGGGACAGAGGAGAGGTGTAAATTTGGAAGTTAAGTGACAAAGAACACCCTACTGGGAGCTGAATTAGGAAGGTAAAAGCTGTGACCAGAAGGTCCCCTTAATCAGAAAACAATAGTGAAAGTGCTTGGGCCGGGATCATTGCCTTCATTTCCTGGCAGCTGGGGAGCCAGGGGAGCCACCCTCCAGCTGAGGTGCTGACTGCTTTTATCCTTTCTACCCCAGCAGGACATCCTGCCCAGAGGAAGCCCCAGGTCCAGCAGCTTCCTGTCCCTGTTGGTTGTCTGGGACCTTTGTTAGCACAGCCCCGAGGAGCCCTGCTCAGGGAAAGAAGTTAGCTTTTTTCTTGTTTTCATTGCCCACAGACTCACGCTGGCAACTTCAGGCTGCCTGGGTCCAGATGGATTTGTCCAACCAGCCCCTTCCTTGCTCCCCTGCCTCTCCCTCAGGCAGCGCATAAGTAAGCAAAGTCCAAAGGCCTGAACAATATTCTGTACCTCTCTGATTACCAAGACCCAAGGGTTGGCCCAGGAGTGGAGCCTGCTGAGGCAAGCCGTGAGAGATGCTGTCCCCAAGAGGGTAACTCATGTCTGCACACAGCATGAGCTAAACAGTCCCAGACACACCAGATGGGAACCCTGGCTCTTTCGGCTCATTGCTGTCTGTCCCTCAAGCTAGCTTGAGAAGCCTTGCTGTGGTGCAGATTGTCCCACCTGTCAACGGGAACAAAGCCATCTGCACAGAGCGACCAGTGTTTCCTAGCTGTCCTTCCATGCAGCAGTCCTTCGCGTCCAAAGTCATAGTCCATTTTAGTGGGCATCACTTGTGTGGTTCAGACTGTGCTCCTCCACCCAGTGCCAAGAACCCGGGAAACCCCAGAAATGTCTGCACTGTCTGGGGAGCAAGGCCTGCAGAGCTCCCCAAATAGGGCAGGCAAGTTCCCAGGAGTGCTTTCTTTTTATACCTGAGTCTCCAAGTGTGTGTCTCCCCATCTGCCAACACCAGGCTGCATTTGCACATCTGACAGAAAAGGAGCTACCTGGAGTGGAAGGGGCTCCTGTGGGCCCTCGCAGTGGCGTGCCCAGCTCACAGGAGCTGAGAGACAAGCGCATACATGGCTGCCCAGTGCTGCGTTCCAGGACAACACTTTGGTAACAGCCACTGGCTGTGGTGGCAAGGTTTACAGAACAGGAAGTACGAACGTCACAGCCTGGGGAACAGTCCTTACCCTCATCCTAGGCTGACTGCTGATAAAGACTGACTGACACACTGCTTACCAGCCTAGGTACTGCTGTGGACTCACTGGGGACACCCCTTCCAGCTGTGGGCACCCCACAGTGGTGTTTGGCCCAATACAAAGCATCCATCACAAGCATCCCACTCATCTGCCATGAAATAGAATGGCCCTGAGCCTCAACTCTGCCCCCGTGACTCTGAAAGCGGAGCCCAGCCTCAGCTCTGCCTGGCTTACCCAGGAGCACACTGGCCCGCAGATTCACCTGTGTTCGTGTACCGGGCCATCGATGATGGCCACCTGTGACCACCAGCGCCTGTTTCTCTACTATAATACAAGGTAGTTGTGGGAGCTTAGGACACACCACTTCAAAATATAAATGTAGGAAGCCAGAACATGCCATGTCAAATCTATGGCAAGTTTCAAGCTGATTATTCTGAGAAACTTCAGACTCAATAGTCACTTGGATAAGCTCTCCTTCTATAAAAGAAATCTACCTATCTAAAGAAAATCTTATAAGTGTAGACGTAAAGTATCCAGGGAACCAGAGGCACTTCATCTATAGAACAAGACAAGCCATATATCCATGCAATTCCCCACCTCCCTTAACTTGTTTCCATGCCCACAGACTCCCTCAGAAGCTCAAGCCCTCCAACCTTTCTGGGGTTCAGAATACCAGGTGTCAGTCATTCGACCCTGCTTCCAGCCTCATATTTAGTGGAACTCCTGTGCTTATGCGTGTAATTAAGATGGGTTTTCTCCTCCTCTCCCGTCTTATGTCAATTTAATTTGCAGCCCAGCCAAAGAAACTAGAAGGGTGGGGCAAAGCCATTTCCCCCTCCCAACACAGTAATCACTGTTGCTCCCTTACATGGCTTTTGGGAGGATTACACAAGATTATTGCTGAGAAAATGTGTAAAGTAGCGCATGACACTATACCCAAGCACCCTGATGCTCATGCCAGAGATGGCTGTGATGGGTGAGCATCCTGCCAAGATGTCTGAGGACCCCCTGGGCTCCAGTCACACAGAGAGCAGTTTAGGACAGTGATGGGGACACGGACACTGCAAGCTTTTAGAGCTTTCCATGAGACAAACAACCCACCATGGTACATATGCGACAGGGTACCACCACTGGCCTAGGACATCCTTCACGCTGGCTGTCTCGCTTGGTCCTCAGACCAGCAAGTCAGCCATGGTGATGTCCAATGAGGAGATCAGCATCCACTCACTAGGGGACACTCACCAAAGATAGCAGCCAAGACCTTGCCTTCACGGTGCTCACAATCCAGGGCAGTGGGAGTGCAGGGCATTAGGACAGCTTCCTCAGACTCAGTACTGGTGACCTCTGGGGCCAGAGCATTGTCTGCAGGGCAGGGCAGATGTTTAGCAGCATCCTTGAGATGCAAGTTGTCCTCACCCCAACCCCAGCCATGACAACCCTATAAGTATCAAGCTTGCTTATCTTGAGAACTATCCCTAGATAACTTTCTTTTCAAAGGGTTGTGGGGTGGATCAGGGTGTCTAAACCAGGAAGTCCTGCAAATCTGTGGGCTCCTAAGAAACCTGAGAGAGTGAATACTAAAGTTTTGGCAGTTACTATTCCCTTCCATGCTGACCATTTTAGTATTGGGGGAACTTGCAATGATCATTATGAATAAGAAAGATGAAGTCGCCCAGATTTCCAATTGCAAGAAGGTCTGGAGCTGGTGTTTCTGATGTGGGTCTTAAAGGCAACAAATATGGTCCACCCTGATGAAGCAAAGCAGACGAAGCCCCTCCATGGGTGCCAGCCTCCTTCCATGCCAAGCAGATTCTTTTAAAAGAGCAAGCAGCCTGTTTCTGGGCAGTCTTATAGCCAAGCAGCATGGAGACAACAAGTCTCATTGGAATTCATATCCAGGTTCACATGCCTCCATACCTGGCTCACGACCAGGTGTTGGCTGAATGAAGCCTCACTTGCTTAGAAAAGAATCTGATCCCAAAACTGGCTTTCAAAGGTCTCGAATATGTCAATAGCAATCCGAAATAAGTGAGAAGATTCATAAGGGTACCAGACATCACCCCAAAGCATGGGAAGTGGTAGTGTGTGCAGACTTCAAGGCATTCTGTAGGTTAGGAATGGGATTATTTCTACCACTCAGGTCATAGCTGGAGATCAGAACAGGTACTCCTGACATTCAGTCTGTAAGAATGTCATCCAAAGAAGATGATGGGAGTTGTTAGGGAGAATGGAGGGAGAATGACTCATGAGGGCCCCAAATCCATACACTCCCAACCACCCCTCATTGTATCTTCTTATATAGATGTCCACAGACAAGAGGCCACAAACTCTCAGAGCATGAGTGTTCAACAGGAAGAAAAGGGTCCTCCCTTCCCAGCTTAGCCAAGGCCATTGATTGAAACCACAGCAACTTGCTCCTCTCCTGTGTGATGCCTGCTGGCTGCCCTTCACTCACCCCACCCTCCGCAAGGCAGCCAATTATATATGAAAATGAAGGCTCAATTATAAGTTTAGGAGTAAGTCTAAAACCCAAAGTTTAATCTGTGTAATTTAAAATGTGCACATCAATTCATTTACTATCACGCTCCCTAAAACCAAGACACAGCATTTATAGGTGCATCAAGCTCTGCTCTACAGGAAAAAAAAAAAATCTTTATCAGCATGTGGAAAATTGGCATGCTTCCAGCAAAATGGAAAACTTTTTGACACTCAGTGGTCCCTCGCCCAGCACTGAGGCAGCTTACGGCACTTCAAAGCTCCTTGTCATCTGAACAAATTGGAAACAGAAAACAAAGGGATGAGAGAGAAGCCGTCCCCATGCAGCCACTCTCCATCCAGCAGGGGAAGCCGGGCTCCTCAGCCTTTGATGTGGCCCCGTGGCTACACGCCTCTCCGCAAGCTCCAGACCCTGGCCCCAGCATCCTCTGCCTGTTGTTATAGAAATGAACAAACATAGCCTTTCAGACACTGGCCACATCCTGAAAGAAATGTACTTAGTATCGTATCAGTTGTACAAGCTTACAACTGTGAAAATAAATATTGCTCCTTCATATCTCCTGACCATGTAATTTAGGGCCATTCCCTTTCCTATGGCTCTGTACTATGTGGTCATTAGTTACTAATTCCCACCCTCCATAGTTCTAGGAATGACCTTGTCCCCAAGCCAAGGAGTAGGGCAGAAAAGTGAGGTCTAGAGCCAGAATGCCTGGGTTCAAATCCTGGCTCTGGGAATTACACACGGGATAACCTTGGGTAAATTGTTTCACCTCATTTTGTTGGATTTGTTTGTTTCTTTGATTTCCATGCTTGCAATTGAACCAGGGCCTCACATCTGTTAAGCACATGCTCTACCACTGAGCTCTACTCTAAATCTTGATTTATTAACCTTTGGCTATTGTTGGTTATGATACCTATTGTGATGGCATGATAAAGTGGAGCAAGTGGAAGTATCTATGCTTGAAAGACAGTAAGATGACAACTTATTATTTTTAAGGCCCTGATATATGTGACCCGGTGCCAAATGCTGGAGATCAATCAGGGAAGTTCAGTAAGTTGCAGGATGCAACCCAAGTTAACGTGCACCAGGCAACCCTGCTAGATGAGGGCAGGGTCAGCTGAAAACGGGGAGGGAAGCAGCCAGCAATCGAGGTAAAGAGTGTTTATAGCTGAAGGCAACACTGTAGGCAGATGCCATGAAACAGGAAGGGTCCTGGCACTATGGAAGACCTGTGAGAACAGTGTGAAGAGGGCTGATCGGGGGGATGGAGGAGCAGGATTTATTTCCACAACTGTACAAGAACAGCGAGGTGGGAGCTGGTGAGCAGAGATGGAAGCATGAGCGACCGGAGCCGTGAGACCTTTTTTAAGAAACACTTTTGTTGATGTGCAGAGAGTGAGCCAGCAAAGGACCAAAGCAGAGGTAGAGGCCAGCAAAGACCCTGCTCTGAGGCAGGTGGGCAGGGCTCCATGACGGTGAACGGGCAGGGAAGGAAAGAAGGAAGTCTAATGACCTCTAGGCTTGCACTGAGGTAGGAGAACCGGGAGATGGGGGCAGAATGGAAGAAGATGGAAGCGTCTGTTTGCACACATGCAGATGGAGGTCTATGCTCCCCACCCAAGGGTAGCAATGAGATGCATCGATGTGGGGCTCAGAGGAGGAAGGACCTAGAGGCAAGAGACACACTGGGGCTCCCAGGCGTGGAAAACGCAGTGACAGCTACACGACTGTAAGAGATCTCCTGCCCAGTGAGGAACGACAGGGAAGGCCCAAGGGTAGAGCTTAACAGGCAAAAGGATGACTGGGAAGTAAACTAGAAAGATTGGGCCAGGGAAGCAAAGGAAACCAGGAAAAAGATGCCCCAGAGCTAAAGGATGGTGGCTTTGGGACATGTGCTGCTGCAAGGAGGCTGAGCAAAGTGGCTAGAAAGTGAAGCCATTGCTGACCTTGGCAGAGCAAAACCCAGACTTAGCATGCAGAGAGGGGGGCACCCGGGATAGCTGGAGGACACCAGCTCTGAGGTGGGGTGGTCCCTTGGGAGGGTCGGAGGTATGATGAGCAAATGGTATTTCTAACATGGAGCAGCCAAACATACTCATGGAAATAACCCAAGAGAGAAGGGTAGGAGATAGGGAAAGTGGGGAGAGCTCTTGATGAGGGGTGCAGATCAGACAGAATGGGCGAGGCCTGGGCCACAGATAAAGAAGAGTGGCCCAGAGCCAGAAAGAGGGTACATGGTTCTATGCTGCTACACCACAAATAACCACAGGTTGAACCCCCCAAACACACAAGTTTGTGCTGGGAGTTCTCCAGGCAGAAGGCAGCCAGGCCTTCTTACCCTCCCAGTTTTGCAAGGCTGGAGCCAGCTGCCTGCCAAGGTTGTCCTTCAACTGGGGTCAAAGCCTCCTCCAGGTTCACTGTGGTTTTTTGATGGAAGAATACAATTTATTGGGGTACTAGTGGTGTCCCTCTTCTCTTACGGTAGGCCAAGGGTTTGTGACAGTTCCTCGGGGCCCCTCTTAGGTCCCCATCACAGAGCCTCTCCATTTTTACCACCAGCACAGAGCCCTCACAGGCAATGTCTCCCACCTTAGGAAGAGTCTGGCCTCACCTGACTGGGTCAGACCCAACCAGATCATCTTCCCCTTGATTAAACTCAAGTTTAACTCGTGGGTGATTTCATTGTGGTAATGGGGTCCCACCATATTCACAGGTTTTGCCAGCACTTGCATGGGACAAAATGTAAGGTGAATTCTCTGCCTAAGGTTGAGATAGGAAGACACACGCTTTGTGTGGGGAAGACAAGGAGTTGTGTGGCTCCCCATGTCTGTTTCTTAAGGAAATACAAGTTCATCTGCCAGGAATGTTGGGGGTGTGGAGTAGCAGGGAGAGGGCTGAGCAACTGAGAGGCCAGACTGGCAGGAAGGCAGAGAGGAAACTGGACCACCCAAGCCCCTCTGGGTTGGAGAGGATGTCTGGCACCTGGGCGGTGCCAGCAGACAGAGGGACGAGTGTGTGGCAAAGCCCAAGGTACCAGCTTCACTTGAACTTTGCAAGAAATGAAGGGAAAGTCTGGCAGCAGCAGTAGAGTTGGGGCAACTGAGGACATCGCAAACTCCAAGCATGGCTGTTGGAGGAGGGTGGGCAAAGGGCAGTACCATGGGGAAGGGCCAAGTGTGTGAACCACTGGGGCTCTGGAGCTCACAGAGAACCCATTAGCTCTGTACTTGACCCCAAACAGAAGCTGCTGCAGAGTCCCAGGATTTGTGCAACCTCCAGCACTGCACAATTTTCACAAGCAGCTATCCTCATGGGTGGCACACTGCATAAGTCTCAACTCACGCAAACCTAGGTTGGGCACTGGGCTGACTTCAGAGGCCAGGAAGACCAGTCCTGCCCTCCAGGACTGTGAAGAGTCCTGGGAAAATGATAAAAGAGGAGAATTTATGGAAGATGTGGAACCTTATCTCTCAGAACAACTGGCTGGGTGTCTCTGGCCAATCTGTGCTATAAAATCTCTGCATTATAAAATTTCTGCTCATCAAAACTGGTTCTCGGGTTAGCCCCATGAAGTGAGCACCTGGTACGGGAAAACCAAAACCTCTGAAGTATTTCTAAACCATGAACAAACCAAGTATGTAGTACATTCAAGCTAGGAAGGAAGGGAGGAAGGGAGGAAGGGAGGGAGGGAGGGAGGAAGGGAAGGGAAGGGAAGGGAAGGGAAGGGAAAGAAAGAGTAATCATTGATACGTTGTGTCAACTTGAGAAGTTTAAAAGTTTAACTCGGCAAGGGGCTAAGGCCCTTACTTTGCAAACATCCCTGAGCTCTTGGAAGAGGAGGGTATAGAGATAGTGTGGACAGACA